TGGTACTTTGTTACAGCCACCTTAGCAAACCAATGCACCCTCTATAGCTCTTCTACTATTTCCCATTTCTAGAGCTGTTCGAAGCCACCCAGTGGCAGACAGCATGCGTGGCACTGCAGCAGTGGGCTCCACGGCCTCTGGCGGAGTGTGGGCCTCCACTGTACGTACTGCACAAGCACGTGGGGAATGAAACCGTGACTGTCACCGGACAGTGGAGGGCAAGTCATGCAGGGAGGGTGGTGGCTGTGTTACCACTGCCACTTCTCCCCTGAGACTGCGTGAGTCAGCACCCTGAATGAGTCAGGGCTCGCTTCTCTTCAACAGCCAGCTTACTGCTCTGTCTCTAGCAAGGAAAGAAACAAAGAACGAAGCACACCGGCCAGGCACAAGAACTGGATCCGCTGGAGGCGTTTATAACAAAAGTAAATAAATATATTTATAAGGCATATAATAAATCTTAGTGGAACTAATAAGAAAAGGAACAATGCCAAAAGGTAAAAAGAAATATAAATGTTTTAATATTGCTGAGGCTTTGGTCTTTTGCTGTTCTATAGATACACAATTAGCGATAACTTTTTTCTTATACTCCGGTTTTCTTTTATTGTGAGAAGACCAAAAACAGAAGAATAGAACATATATCAAAATATCCCGATGAGTATTATTTTTGAAATTGGAAAACAATCTAAATGTATAACAGTAGGTGGCGTGGTTAAACTAACAGCAGAACAATATAATGGACTGATTTCACAGCTATTAAAAATTATAAGCATGTGGACTATATTAACAAACTTAAAAGCATATGTAAATAAATACGCTAAATAAAAGTATGCTCAAAAAAAACATTACAATCATGAACAATCAGGTAAAAACCGGGTCACTGACCATCCCCGTAACTTCTAATTCTAAAATTATCTGAAATCTACCTCTCTAAGTGATATTTTAAATTTCCTAGCCTATCCTAAGGCTTAGGGCAGGCACAATATTTCTGCCTTGGTAAAAATAATTGCTGCCTAGATTGCAATATAGTGTTCTAAATATCAAAATAAGACATTGTGCTTCTCAAGGGAGCTTTTAAAGAGACTTCAGCTTAAAATAAAAAAGCCATAAAAAGTCTAGTGTAGATTTTACTATCCATTAAGATTGCTGCAATGGAATTTTTTTGTTTCTCGGAAACTACTTTCTTTAAAAACAACAAGGAAAAATCATGTGCTATGTTCTGACAAAACCACTCAATCCCTGAGATGGAAATATTTTAAGCTAATGAGTTGAAATACAACCTAGTACATGAAAAACCTTCAATATTGTCGAAGTCAAAATTGTATAAATTTGACATATATTCTTCACACATAATAAATTTATTAAATATCTATGGAACTACTGGATGAGCAGAAAGATATTAAATTCCCTTGTATTAGATATATTTTAATTCCAGTGGGACATGGGGATAGAGTCTCCTTTCAATTCTCTATAAGCTGATCCTCGGCTTCAAATTATAATTAAGAAATTTAAAGACAAATCCTGCCCCAGCCCTATAAATTCAACTTTGTGATAGGTTCAAATGTTTGTTTTTTTGTTTTTGTTTTTAATGCTACCCAAAAGAACTATTCTATTTCAGGCACTTGATATTAATATTCATCTGTGTTTATGTGGCATGATTGTTTAAAACAACTGATTTTATACCCTTAAAAATTTTATATATTTCCCACATATTATATAATAAACCAACTAATGTTTAACAATAGGTAGATGAAAGGCCAAAGAGAAAGACTAATTGAGACACTTAATGTCTGCTTAATTACAGATGTCAATCCCATTCAAGTTTTTGGTTAAAATGATTGTTTTATGAGGCTGTGTGCCTACAAATTAAAGTCAACATTTTTTAAAAAGTAGAACTCACACAGTCTTAGGATGGCAGTTATACATCTGTGTGATTAAATAGATTTTAAATACATAAAACACATAGCTTCAATATCAACTTAAATATATAGGTTAAATGAATAAGATTTTATTTGTAAGCCACATATATGTGCATATTTCATATGTAAAATATTTATTTACACAATGACTTAAATGTTAAAAAAAATCTAAAAATGTACAATGCCATACTGTTATATACTCAAAAGTAATAAAAGCAATCCTACAGTTATTTTTTTTGTTGTTAAAGTTGGTATTATGTAACTATTTCCTTATTAGCAATGGTTAGACAAAGAAATTACATTTCTGAAATTAATGGGGTTCCTTATAACTGTTAGCTGAGTGCTCATTTATGAAATGTGCATTAAATCTCTGCAAAGGTATAATTACATTACAGTTATTTTCCCCAGTTCCTGAAATAATCTGTGCTGCTAACATGAGCATTATAGCATAAGGAGTCTTTGTTTTAAGTTAGAAAGAAAAAAAGGCTACGGATTTGCCAGATCAACATCAAATATTCCAAACCACCAACATGACATCATTTCTATTTGTTGGCTTTCTGTCAAAATACCCCCGAATGTTTTGTTGTATACAGAAACAAAAGAGTAGGGCTAGTTTAAGCTTTTTTTAGTGCCTCATATATTATACTAATATACCTAGTGGAAAGTGAGTTATTAAACTGCCAAATTTAATCTAATTGAAGTCAGACACAACTCCAGAATCCTGGGGAAAGTTGGAGGAAGAAGTTAAAAGTCTTCTCAGGTAGCTGCACATTTTAAAATCAAAGAGTCAAATGTTAGGCTTCAAATTTAAAACACAATTTAGGGAGAGACGTAGAGACAAATAAGGAAAAAGGGAAAGCTATTCCTTAAAATAGAATACCAACTCGTAAATGCAGAGAAAGTAACAGAGTTAGCAAATCATCATTTTCCCCATATGATAGTAAAAATGGATTTAGGCAAGACTAATTTAATATATGCTTACACTAATGGGTGAAACCTGATGAGTACAATTAGATTGTATCAAACATCCCCATGAATTATTAAGTAGAAAAGGAAAGTCAGGAACTTTACAGTTAGGAATTCTATGAGATCACACAAAGAGATTTAAGTAATATCACCAATAATGTGTATCCTAATGTAATACACTGAAAAAGACCTCACCTCTGATATTCCTGCCAAAAATGCATAATCTGAATCTAATCATGAGGAAACATTAGACAAATCCAATTGAGTAACATTCTACAAAATCCTACACCCTCAAAAATGTCAATGTTATGAAGACCAAAGGGGAAAAAAAAGGCTGCAGAATCGTTCAAGATTAACAGTGAGTAACCTATGTGGAAGCTAAATGCAGAGTGTGATGCAAGACCAGAAAAAACCCTGCATTAAAGGACATTATTGATGCAATTGGTACAATTTGCAAAAGATGTCTATAGATTGTTGTATTCCATTAATATTACCAATTTCCTGATTTTAATAGTTGTACCAAGTTTCTATAAGAAAATACCTGTTCTTGAAAATACATACTGAAGTATTTGGAGTGAAGGGGCAAGAGTGCAATTTACTCAAGTGTATAGATCAGGAAAAAAACGGTGTGTGTGTGTGTGTGTGTGTGTGTGTGTGTGTGTGTGTAGAATGATAAAGTAAATGTGAAAAATGTTAATAATTAGTGAATCTAGGTGAAGCATTTATGGCAATTCTTTGTATTATTCTTGCAACTCTTCTGTTAGTTTGAAATTATTTCAAAATAAAATGTTACAACCTGTTCTTAGGAGAGACGTTAGAGCCAGCTAGCAGTATCCATCCAAAGGATTCCCTTCTACATTTGTTAAGTAAGTCAGCCAATTCCTGCTAATACACCGCTGATAAAATAGGTAGTCTGTAAATGTTTATATATTGCCTCTACTTGAAAAGAATTGTGAAGGTGGCTTACAATAAATGTCACCAACACATTAAAAAAAAAAAAAGAGCTAAAAAAAACTAGATCCATGATACAGAAGAATTTCCTTAAAAATGGAGATGAAACTGGCCAACGAGGAGCCTAGTTAAATGTACTTGGGACGTCTTACTCTGTTGACCATGTTCCCATAGCAGCCCTGCTTGGGCATTATCAGTCCTTTACCACCTACCTCTACTGTGATTCCTAAGACACCACAGCTCTGGCCATGTTGTTCCTTCTCCACTACATGTTGTGAAACCATCCACATTTCAAACCCTGTCCTGAGGAAGAGACTACACCACAGTTGCCCAAAGTGTCAGATGTGTGCGGCAGCCAGCTCATCTCAGGTGGTACTCACGCACAAACTCATGTTGCTGAGTTACCTTCAGAGTAAGTATTTATTTTTATAGATATTTCCAATATGTAGCAAGTGATATGTTTCCAGGGTAGTGATATGTTTCCTTCTAGAATACGTTTATTTAAGTAAATAGAAAAAAGAGGCAATTTAAAAAAAATAGTAAGTAAATAAAAAAGCAGGGATATGGCATCTGTGAAAGTAAAGGCTGTTGTAAATTACTGAGGTTTGCAAAATGTTGACTGATGCTATATACATACCATTTCAAAATCTGATTTACAGAGCTAGAGAAGTAAACTCTACAATTATGAATTACATGAAAATCCTGGCAGCAAATGCTAACTTGCTGAAATCAGTGTTCCTTTTACATCAGTAAAGATAATATTTTAGAAAGCACCCTCATGCTTTTTTTAGATTTTAGTAAAAATTCAAAATAACATAAATAATCTTCTAAAGATAGACATATAGTAAATTATCATTTTAACATCATTTAGAAAAAAAAATCTTAGTGTCCAAATAGAAATATTTTAGTCCACAGAGATGTCGGAAAAAAACCTGAAGAGGAACAATGGTAACACCTACTGAACTCCAAATATTTATTTATTATATCTTTTTATGAAAACAAATGTACTGGCTACAACAATATGCTCCTACTCTGATCAAGTTCTAGGGGAAATTGCTAGGGTATATGTAGGCTGTTTCAATTTTTAACAATCTGTGTGACATGAAAAATGAAACCAGATGTTAAAGAAAATGCCCACTTGTTTGCTTCCAAAGCACCAGGGCTTACCAAAGGCTGCTGGGGCTGCATCGCTTGGAGACTGAGGGTCTGACCCTGGGGCTGCGAGGGCTGCTGGGGCTGGGGGGGCTGCTGCATCTAGAAAGAAAGAAAAGGATTAGACACGTAAATATAGGGGGCTAATATCATGCCAATCTTCTCCCCCCATGCACCTTTTATTTAATTATTTTGTGGCAACAAAAATAACATACACCTGCCTCCTCCATCTTTGCCTTGTCAAACACTGTTCATCTTTCAAGGGCAAGAGCTAAATCTGCTCCTCCATGAAGCCTTTTTGGACCACTCCGACCCTGAGCATCACTTCCTTTGGTGGTCATGGCATTCACCAACTACGCCATCCTGTACTGTCCAGGGGCATCCTCTGTACTTACTGTTTTAACTCCTTTCGTGTCATTTGTCCTTCCACGTGTGTTATCCTACTTTCTACTACCAGGTTAGACAAAGACTGCTCCGCAGTTACCTTTTCATTCCTTATGTCATCTGGAGGAACTCTTGCAGGTAGTATCATTTATTTTTTTTTAAGGAAGAGGAAGGTGAAATGAAGAAGGAGGAGGAGGAGGAGGAAAGGAAGAGTTGTTTTTGAAGAACTCGAAGATTTTTCTTTTTTAAGTTGTAGATGTGGAAAATTATGGCATAAATTACCAGCATAAAATAAAAAATCGTGTCTGTGACAAAGTTGTCTCAAATATATAACTCTTGGGAAACATTTTGAAGTCACAGAAGAAACAGAGAACAAAGAGGAAAATATTAATAGTGGTTTGTCTCAACGACAGTTCAAGTTTCCTGCATCCAAACACTTCATCTTGATGATGACAGCATCCAACTTTTTTTCACCTTTTGCTTTTTCCAGCTTGGTTTGTATACTATCCCCAATTTGTTTGTCTCTTTTAGGGTAAGGTAATAAATAGCTATTGCCAGAGGGCATTTCTCAGTAAGTGACAACGCTCAATCATGAATTGGAATCCAATCAGAGGTCTGGGCAGGGTTACTTCCAACATGAACAACCCAAGTTGGTTTTGAAACACGGTGGTGATTACAATATGAAGCCAATTCTCCATTTGGCATTCTGTGAACTTTTCCAAGAAAAATTAACCCAACTTTATAAATATTAATTTGTTTCTCTATGGACGTAGTCAACTACCTAAAAAGGAATAAGCATAATCCTGATGCAAAGACAAATCACTTTTACTTATCTACAAAAATAGATAACGAAAAAATTATCAGAAGGACATATTATGCCAATTGGGGAAAAAAGTACATATTAACCAATAAAGAAGATTTTCAAAATTTGCAGCCTTAAAAAACACCAATGTAAGACAGAAAGTAGTCAATTAACAAAGAATGTAATAACTTTCCACAATGATTTGAAAATGTGAAGTTTTAAAACAGAGGGAAATATAAATATCAGTTCTAGGATGTTCTGAAACATATCTTCAGAATTTGGAAAAAAATTATTTTAAGAAAATACCACTACAAGTATTAATAGTCATATTTATGGTAATATTAACAAATGAGTGCTTTACTTGCATAGTTATTTCTCACTATACACTTAGGGGTAGGCCCTATAATTATTTTCATTTTACTTATGAGAATTAGAGGGGTTTTTACCATGTTGGAGATCACATCTATACAGTAAGTGGAACTGGACCTTGGTAGGCCATACTCCCCCCAAACCAATTACTGTGTGTTATTACTTTTGTGATACAAATTTTTTTCACATTTTCACAGGTAAAAATCGGGATGCAACTAATGGTACCTCATAACTAATGGTATCTTATAATTAGGAAGCCTAGTTCTAGAGGATTTGTGTTGTCTTCTGTCTGTCCCCTGGGGATATTGCCAACCAGAATGTTTTGGATCACACTGAATTCAGACCTGAAACCTACTTGAGCTTGTGGTTTATATTCTCAGTGGAGATTTTTCCTTCCCTCCATCCAGTGTCATGGTGGAGACATGCAAGTTCCTTTGCTGTTCCTTTCTATACAGCAGGTTTACTTCTTATCGATCTCACACCAAGAGAACAGCCCTTGGGTAGCCCCACTTTACCAGACTCTCCCTTTTGGTGTTTTTTTCTTTCTTAGTAATACATAAGTGACAGTACATCTCAAGCTGGATTGCTGAGTCCACTATACAGACTCATCAGTCCATCTCCAATCCAATAACATAGAACAAGCTTGAGAATAGTGAAGACAAATGGAACAGATAAACATATTAGCCTCTATTTCTTAAATGAGGAAGCTAGAAGCCAGAATATGCCAAGTGAAGGAACCCTTTATCTAGGAGACTCAAATATTTCTATCAAATAATTGAAGATAGCTCTCTGGATTCTAACAAGAGTCAAGATGAAATATCTCTTTCAAATATCCTACCAATATAATGCCAGCTTCACAGCCTAATTAGACCAGAAGTGTTATAGAAAACTTTTTGGATTAAAGATCCCTCTAGGACAGCCTTTTTATTCAAACTGCATGGCCTCTAGTTAAATAATGAGTGGGTAAGCTGAGGCTTACGCTGTTAAAATAAAGGCATCCAGCGACCCTCTTGAACCTTGGTGGATGGGGAAGGACGCCCTGGAAAACGCACTCTCCTGCCTGTGACCTGGTAGAACCCAGAGAAAGAAAGATGCTTGGCAAGTTGGAGCTGAATTACACCAATTGAGCTTCTAGTGTCTCTAGTGTCAAACACACAGGATTCTTTGGAACTTGGCAATTAAAGGCCAAAGCGCCTGTTATTTCTCATGACTGCTGAGGACTCACCACCACACACTGCCCTCGCACCCAGTCCCATACCTGGAGGAACCTCTGCTGCTGTCGCACCTGTGGCTGTCGGGGTCTCATTGGGTCCTGAGGAAGGGGCCCCGAGGGAAGGTTTGGGTGTGCCGACGTCAGCACGGCATCGATTCCTCCGCCCATCAGCGGGCTCTGCTGGAGGGACTGATGGTTGAGTCTGGTGAAGAATCACACAGCTGGTTTCAGGGCAGGTGGTCCATCACACATTTAATCAGTGCCACTGGCACATCACACACATTTAGAGAAACGACTGGGTTCGATCATTTCTTGTACAATTCGAATGCAATAAAGGCCGGTGGTTAAGATTATCTTGATTCCCAGGGATGGACAGGATCACTTGAAAAGGGCAATAAGCATGCTTACTACTTAAGGTAAAACTGCAATCACATATAAATAACTTTCTAAAAAATGTATTAACCAATGACATCAATTGAGCGTTTACTCTGGACTAGGCACTGTGGTGAAAGTCTGAAGCGTGTTATTTCATTGGCTCTCCACAGCAGCCCTTAGAGGTTGGTCAGCAGTTCTGCTATGCCCACACTAAAAACGAGAACAGAGAGCTAGAGAAATAACTTTCCAAAATTATTCAGACAGCAAATGGCACAGGGGGCATCTCAATCCAGAACTTTGGGGCTCTACAGTTCAGGTTTTTAGGCAATATGCTATGCTGCCATTTATTAGAAAAATAATAAACACAGAAGGTGCCAAAAAATGTATATACATTTTAAGAAAGGAAAAAACTATTAAGATTGTAATACTCAATAGTCACCAATAATAAAAGATGAATACAAGTCACGTTTGACTTCTACAATTACAAGAGGTGCTCAAAGTTGTTACTATCAGCGTCCAGACACTTCTGATTACGGCAAAATGCTGCTTAAGCAACGTTGATCAGTGTCCACTTGTACACAGTTTTTTGGCACCCCACCGTATAATGAATATTTTCCTAATTTCTTTTCCCAAACGTACTACCAACAACCCTGCCAACTTTCCCAACAGTGATTACGTGGAGTTGACATGCAGCCATTGATAATACCTGAAGCCAAGCTGCTCTGCTATTCACTGTAGTACAAAATTTTGCATGAAACTTAATTCTTCTATATTAATGCCATCCAACAGAACTTTCTATGATGACTGAAATTTTCCACATTTGTGCTGTCCAATAAGATAACCACTGGCCACCAGGACCAGCTACCTAATTTTTGGGTCTCGGTGCAAAACAAACTGCAGGACTTTCTGACTAAAAGTTAGCAAGAGGGTGGCAGAAGAGCTTTAAATCAAGCGGGGGCCCTTCCAAACATGGCGAACTGTGTGTGACTGCTCTAGTCACAAACTTTCGAAGATGGCCCCATGGGCTCCATGTGGCTCCTGAACACTTGAAATGTGACTAATGTAACTGAGGAACCAAGGTTTTAATATAATTTTAATTAGTCTAAATTTAAATAGCCACATGTGGTTGGCCGCTACTGTAATGGACGATGCAATTAGACACTATATCTAAGGGCTCTGACTAAACAAGAACTAGAAAAAAAGGCTTTTCTGATCCTGCTTTGCAAACCATCTCTGACGTGGAAAAGGTAGAAACTAAAATTTAACAAAACTCTTTCGGGCATCATGCACAAACATCGCAGTCATAGGTTTTACGACTCCAGTCGAGATGCTAGTAAGGTACTGCTAACCATATTCAACATCTTTTAATCTTAGATACTTTTAGCCAAAAAACCTTTTTTAAAAGGGGAAAAGAAAGAACACTGGAGGCAATATAGTGGTATCTTCTAAAACTATCACACCTGTGCTATGGAAGATGCGAATCAAACTGTAGGGGCCTCGAGTGAAATAAACAAGATAGGCCACTGCTCATTTTGAATCTCTCTCTGGGTGTTCCTAAAAATGAGGTGACAGAATGCAAATATACAAGTTCATCAAAACAATATGAAGCGCCATGCCCTAGAAGAAGCCTAACAAAGAGAAGAATATGAGTGTCTACTATTGCAATCATTATTTCTAGATGGGTCACCTCTGAGAGCCCGTCAAAGGCTGCAGGTACGGCGATGCCTGCTGCTGCACGTAACCACTCGGCTGCTGCTGTATCTGTCTGAGCCTTTCCATCAGTGCTGGGTTGGAATGCGCAGCTGGGTAGGTTCTGGAGTTATAGCTGGGAGACAGAACCACACCGCCGACCTGCTGCTGTGGGGTCTGCTGCAAAGGCATCTGTGTTCCATACATCGTGTAGCCTTGGGGCATGGTCTGCAGGCAGGCAGGAGGAACCAAGTCAGTGTTACAATTTACCACCAGCTTTCCTGTTGCTAAGATATATGGAGCAAAAAGAACCCCACTGCTCTCAAATGCTCTTATATGAAGAGGACAACCATGGGGGCAGAGAGGCTAGCCTTAAAGCGATAGAATGAACTGGCTAAAAAATGATTTACCAGAAAATGCAATTAAAAAAAATCAAAAAGAATCTTCACTTGGTTAAGAAATTAGTGTTAAAATCAGTTGCTTATTCTGAGAGAAGGAAGGGCATATTTCTTTATAGACAAGCAGCCATACTTTTCAAGCATAGATGACGTCAATGTTCAACAGATTCCAAGCATCATTAATGTCATTTGCAAAATTAGTCAGAAAAGCTACCCCCAGGCTCAATGTAAATTAAAATAATGGCATACACTCCCCTGATATGTGACTACACCTCCTTGGATCTGATGAATGTGCCTGCAGTAACTAACCAGTTACAAAAAGAAAAACCCAAGTAATAAATAATACCTTACCCAGAGAGTAAGGGTGTAACTGGCGACTATTCAATACCCTCGAGCCCAGCACTGCACCAATTATCTGAACACTTCATTTTTCTATGCAGTATTAATATACAAGAACCTGTTTCTCTAAATCTTGACATCTAATGTAAACAAAAGACCTGACGTTCTGCTGGATCATTACGTACAATTTATAGAACAGAATGCCGATTAAAGTAGAAGAGGATAGTTTACTATTGTTGAATGCAGTCTAATGGCTCTGCCTGGAAGACACTAATGTAGAATGCACTTGCAGCAGGCACTGTGGGTGGATCCAGGTTGCAGGGAGGGCTCAGAGCCCTTGAGGGCCAATCTTGGCTTTCCTTTCAGCTGTGGACACGGTATGAATTGCTAGCCCCAACCAGGAATTTTATCCACCTCTGGCTCCTGATTAGGAGGGGCATAGGGTCAAGAATGTGGACACATAAATAACAAGATTCTTAGAAAAAAAAATGGCTCCAGATTTACATTACATTATGGCATGTCTACCATTGGCTGAGCAGCACTGTGTATCTGGTGTAGCATTTAGTTTCATAGGTTGTCTTAAATCCTCACACGCTCACTTCTACTTTACAGAGAAGGAAACCAAGACTCAGTATTGTGCGCAATGTTACACGGCTAGTAAATGGCCAGGGAGTTTGCCAAGGTCTGATTCCACGGTCAATTATCTTCTTATTCTACATGACTCCTTTCTGAGTATCTTTGAATACGATAACTTATATATATATATATTATAACAGAAGTACTCTGGGGCTCCTAAGCATCATTAATAGAGAGGTTTGAATTTAGTTTTGTTTTCAGTTCAAGAATTTCCTAAAATGTTGTTATGTTCCTTAAATTAATTAATCCTGAGACTGGTTCAACACTAACTGGTAATGCTTTTTTGGAAATGTCAATTATAATCTGAAAGCAGACGTAACTAAGTTCTAGATCCCATAAGGGCCTTGACACCCTATTGACTTGGTTTCCCACTTCAAATAAAGAGCATTAAAAACCCGGGCAGCATCTATGAAACAAATGTGGGTACCTGTGCTTGCTGCAGCCCTGGATACTGGGGGAGCTGAGGGGAGGGCCGTGCTTGTGCAGCAAAGAGAGCAGCCTGGTCCCCCGGCTGACCCTGGAAAACAAAGCCAAGGACAACTCTCGGTCATAACAGCAAGGGCTTGATTTGAGCTCCTGACTAATAATCCCAATATAACCCACAACACCAAATCTCATTATGTGAATACAGAACTTGCAGGTTTCCAAACTGCATTAAATTGGATTTCTCATCAATTTCTTATGTGTATAGAGGCTGTTGAACTTATTATTTCTTCCCAAGAAGACTGCAGATGTCACCAACGATAACACAGACATAAATACAAGCCATAGTAGCCAATAAGCGGCTCTGAGGTAGCATTCCCATATGCTCCCGGGTACAAATGGCCCTCCAGAGTGAAGGCGTGGGTCCCTCATTGTGAAATCCACAACCAGAGACGCACCATCCTGTGCCCGTAAGGGGAAGGCATTGCACAGACAAATGCCACATACAAATTCCATGACTTTTGAATAAAGTTTTTTTTATAGTGCCCTGAAAATTGCTTATTTAGCTATCCAGTGGATGAATTTGGTATCTCCTATGACTCTAATAATCAATTAAAATAAAATCAGTAACAATTTATAAAGTAATAGCAAATACAATTCTAATCAACTACAATATAAAATAAAACCAACGAACATCTGTTCACCGATCTTAATACATGTTTTGGCCTTAGGAAAATATATTCATAAGAATGGTATGCATTTTAGGTTTGGTGGCAGAAACTACCTCATGGAAGCTTGCAGTAAGACTCACAGAAAGAGGCCTAGCTTCTGACCACTCTTAGGTTTTCTTCAGGACCTAACTAATTATAAAGAATGCGGTTTATCCTAGGATAGTTTACTACTGTTTTATATCAGATGTACAGATTTTTAAAAATTGCTAAATTACAGTCATATAAAGCATTTTAATGTTCCTGGAAAATAGTTTAAATATCTCTAGCAAGGAGAAAAAAGGGATAAACATTTAGTTAAGAGGGAGAACGCCGATAATTATTAAACATCTACTCTATGCCAGGGAGTGGGCTTCTGGCTCTTATTTCCATTTTCTCACAGGAACTCTGCAGGGCGAGAGCATCGTTCCCATCTTCTTCAGCTAGGAAAAGCTAGGCTCAAAGGGCTTCAGCAGCTCGGTGAGCTCAGCTAGGCCAGGCCAAGCCATTATCTGAACGCAGGTGAATCTGACCCCAAAGCACAGGGCTCTTTCCATAATAAAGAGATGCCTCTATACGTGGGATTAAGGATGAAAATATTTAAGACCTCATTTGGTGCTTATTATTTAAGGACATTTACCATCTTAAACTCACCCCCAAAAATAACCAAAAGGAGACTCTCTATTGAGACTTGTTAAGAGATATTGAACTAAAATGTATACATCAGACAGGGCAGCCCTTTCTTTGATCCCCACATAAAATCACTTGAGGGCATTTAAGAAACTTCAGTGTTTCCTAAGGTGACTGTTCACCCATACACAAACCAAACATGAATTTCTGGCGGTATTTACTATGTATCTGCATAGAACAGCTTCAACAAGAATCTTACTTTCCACCACCTTGAGCTGATTAATCTAAGCGCAATTCCATCTCTATTTGCTTGTGTCTAAGATAAATAGACCCAATTCCTCTACGAGAAACCACAGTATCTGAATGGCTTTTGATTCTCCGAACAGTACGCCAAAGAGTCATTAAATCAATTAGACCTTTAAATGCTACTCTTCAAATCAGTGTTCCCTGACCGTGTCGGATGAGGTCCCTGAAACATATTGTTGTGTTTCCTTATGGGGACAAATACATACATAGTACCATTTTTACAGAAAGGAAGAAAAATGAATTGTTATATGTGAGTTAGAATCTTGTCATCCATAAGTAGTCTACAATACCCATGCATGCCCTGTTTTAGCTTGAAGGGAAACAAGATGTGATTTGTATGTGTGGATGTATAAAGATCTTTTTAACTCTTTACTCTTCCTCTGCTTTTGAAGAAATTTATGAAACTGTGACTTACATGTAGGGAAAAACTAGCATACTAATCAGGTAAGTATCTGAGTTACTGGGCTACACTCTTTTATTGACAAATAACTGTTGAGACTGTAGATTGAAAAAAATATGGATTAAAAACTATTCTACATTTTAAAAAGTCACAAAATTAACATTCAAGGAAAAATTATAACTTCACTATAACTTCAAAAGAAAGAGCAAAGGATCAAAAATTTCAAATCGGTTTTTACACTCCAAAATTCATGCATTCTCAACCATTTTTGTCTAAAGGTTAACTTTTTATGTGTGAACATATTATATTCCCTCCTACCATCTACTTAAGGCAACAATTCAGTTATGCAGTGTCCTCCCTGAGGCAACCACAAACATCCCGAGTTGGCTAGCACTCTCCAAGTGCTCTGTCAATAGCTTTATTATCGGATGTTGCCCCGGATTATTTTGAAAAATACCTGGTCTCTTCCACCAAACTGAAATGGCCTCCCACTGTTCTTTGGTTTTTCCTAGAATAATGTCAAGAACACACTAATTTCAATTTGTACAAATAGTTCAGTTTGGTGGGGAAAGACTAAAAAAGAAAAGTTCTTTAGTAACTTGAAAGATTTTACAAATGTTCAACAAGAACCATAATGTGGGACTAAGCAAGGAAACTGAAGGTTGAGATTCAGTACAAGTTTCTTCATATTGATGGGGATGGTTTTGCTGCATTTAATCAAAAGTTTCTTCATATTGATGGGGATGGTTTTGCTGCATTTAATCAAAAGGGACTAATCATCCAAGTTGGGCCAGGTCAGGACACCAGGTGCCAGGCAGGAGCACGCCTGGCAAAGAGAGACACACGATCACCTTAGTGATTCATAACCCATTTATCTGTCATTTTTGGAAAACCTCCTAAGTTTTATTTCATTTAGCTTTCATTGGTCCTAGCACTGTGTCTGGTATATAGTAAGTGCTCAATAAACACCTGTTGAGGAAAATCTAAGGTTTACTTTAGTGTATCTGTTAACTAAGACTTCCAGAGCTAAATTAGGATATATACCGGGGGTGCCAAAAAAATGTATACGAGTATACATGACTTGTATTCATCTTTTGTTATCGGTATATATTGAGTATTACAATTTCAATACAGTGTTTTCCTTTCTTAAAATGGGTCTACATTTTTTGAGCACCCTCTGTAGTTCAGTATAAGTTAATTCACCAAGTGCTTTCCATCTGCCCCGTATCTGTTAGTATCATGTTTTGTTCTGGAATCTCATTTTTAATATCATTTTTAACATCAATCATTTTAATGATCTCTTCTTTCTGACTGCATTGCTATCTGGATAGTAGCTCAATTTCTCCCTCTTGACTTATTCTGCTTAACTGAACCATCAGAGGCAGCAATAACTTCATATTTTTATGGGTGTAAAGGACAGTTCAAGCTCAGGAGGTTGGATTCTGATGGAATGTGCTTCCAGCCAGGTGTCGTATGATTTTGAGCAAGCACATCAGTGAGAGAGAAGATGAGACACGTCTGTGCAATGGCTCCAGCTCCTACACTCAGTACTGGACTCAGATGTGCTCAGGGAATGAGCTACAGTTACTAATGAAAAGTTCTTCCACTGGGAAATTCTGACAATTACACAGACCCACCTCTACATTGCTACCTGCTCAATGTGGTCTCTCTAGTTTGTTTTTATGCACTTTGCCTTGAGCTTGACTCTATGTGAGAAGTATTATTCCGTTACATTTTCAAAAATTTAGGCTTTGTAAAAACTTCTAACAAAGCTGTACTGTTCAATACTGACTCATTTTCCTGGCCTTTAAAAGAATAATTTTCTCTCTTACTGCTTTGCTTTTAATCAGACAAGAGAAGTATCTGAGCTCAAATATGTTAACTCAAACACCTTTTGAAATAAATGCATCTAGTAAGTTAAAAAGTTTTGAAAAATCATCTTCAAACATAATTTTCATTCTGAGTATTGTTCTCTTCAGTAGCTCACAATCAGTCAGCTGTGCAAATGTAAAGGTCTCTTTTTAAAGGAGAATTGGTTATACCTCCAACTAGCAGGCAGTAAGCATTAAAATCAGTAGCATTTCAGGATCAGGGATTTTCTATCCACTTTATTTACTAGCAATATTCTCCCTCCCACCCCCCAAATCCCTATTTAGTAATTTTTCAATAGTGTCTACGGTCACAAGTAGGGAAACAAGATGTAGTGGAAAAACCACAGCCAGATTTTGTGACTGTTTCTGAAAATGCTGATTTAGGAATAGTAACAAAAATCACCCAATGAAAACCAGTGGGTACTGTTTATAAGCCATCTAGCAAAAAGCGTTTTATTTGTGATACTAGTTTGGAAGGTACTGAGTAATGGTGCCCAAGGCTCAAACACATGGTGTGAACCAGGAGTTATAGCCATCATATCCTACTGGTGTATTTTAATTCAGAAAACAGAGAAAATTCTATAATTATAAGAGGTTCTGTTGACCAGTTATGCTTGATTCTTTTATAAAGCTTTCACATCAAAGATAAATTGGTTGGGAATCAACTAACAGTAAGGTTAACTGCTGGAACCAACTGATTTATTCTAAAATAAACATACCTCATACAATAATGAACTTTTACAATATAATCTATTCACATGTTCATAAATAATATGATTGGTTGAGTATATACATTCATTAAATTTCTACTATTAGAGAATATTAAAGGAAAATAAAAATGGTGAAAAGGAAAGCAGATACACACACACATACACACACACACACACACACACACACACATACACACACTTCCATTTCCACTAATTTGAATGAATATAGAAATCATAGAACCTTGACTTTCAATATTCGACAAACAAAATATTTTGTCTACTTTTAAAAAAGTGAGATCAGTGGATTGGTACAAATTGTTTTCTATCAGAATTACATAATTATCTGACAATAAATACCTTAGAGCAAATAAGCTACCTCCAAAATAGTTTCAAATTTGATGTTTAATTCAATTTTTTAAATAAGTAAGAACCTTACCTGCTTTCTGTACAACACAAAGTGTCAAAAAAAATTGATAGAAAAATTGGTTCTTTTCAGAAAAGTCTCCAAACTTTCCTTTGCTGAAATAACTATTAAAGAAATTGCCTATATAACAAGTAGTTAATAATCTAAATATTTCAAAGCTTGAATAATGCAGTTAAGGATATTTTCACCAACGTATAGAAAGTGTTACCCATTAAATTGGCAGTGAAACAAGTTGACTTACATTCACATCTGAGATGTGTGCTCTTTTTTATTCTAATGCTTCTTGGGTTTATGTTGTAAGTTGGCTACCTGATACAGAAACCTATAAGTAATTTAATGCAAAACATGCATTCTTAGCTAGCCCAGGCAAAGCAGTAGAGGTGAAGGCTTATGACATGCATACACAAAACCTATGCTCAAAAAAACATCTTCTCCATACAGGAAAGAAAATAGAAATGATGCGTTCTTTTGAGAATTTTGGATTAGCCAGTGAGTGGGATGTAATGAGAAGGGTATGCTTCATAACCACATTTTTCATTATCTTGCATTGGCCTATGAGTCAGCATGCCATGCGTTCCTCTGCTGATGATGGGAGTTACCACAGAGAGAAGCAAGAGCTTGGAAAGAGAGGTTCAAAACTGGGGTTGAGATGAAGGGGCACAAACTGGTCTATGTTCCCAAGCCCAGGCGATGAACGTCCACTGGTTTCTCTACCATACACATATACGATGAAAATCATGAGGCAATCAAAGGGGAACACTGTCAGAAATAAATCCCATCAAATCGAACATGGTCAATGCATTCATGAATTTGTGTTACAGTCTCAAACATAAACCGAGCGAATAACAGTGAAATGGAGACTATCATTATTACCACTATAGAAGAATAACCCGCTTCTCATTTTGATGTTCAAAGAGTAATGCTATACAAGTTTACTTAAAAAAAAAAGGAAAGAAAAAGGAATGACAGCAGGGGTGTTACCATTATGTTGTCAAAGTCTTCCAGAAGGGAGACAGCAGAGTTACAGAAGTCCTACAGAAAGGGGACAGCAAGAAAACGGCAGACAATACAGATAAGATTTTTTTTTAGTCTAATGACGTGGGTAGCCAAAATACATATGAAACAGTTCATTTTAAAACAATGTTTCAGAGAGTCAAGACTTGAAAACCCAGGCCGACAGGGGTTTTATTAATTAATTTATACGCCAAACGATATCACATGGGCTGGGACACTGAGAAATAATACTGTAACATTCATATAATGGAATAGCACAACCTGGGGATTAAATGGTAGCACAAAAGAGTTAGGGGTGAGATCACACACAGATACTTCCTGTAACAAAGAGATGGCGTCTCAGTGAACAACAGGGAGCCCAGCCTAGAGGCAGTGAGACAGCTCAGGGCATTTGGGTCACGTGAAACGGACAAGACATTCAGGGAACAAGCCAGTAGGTCATATATTGTTGGAGGATGTGATTAGGTAGCTCTGGCCCCAGTAAATGCAAATGAATATAGAGCATGAGGTTCATCACACATCTAATCAACCAAAATAGACAATAAATATTTATAGTGCCACCAATGTTTACACACAAACATGGAATCGGAGTCAGAAAAAGGGAACTAAATCCATGGGAAATTTTCCTATTTCTCAGGTAAATAATTTCCTTGTTTAATAATTTTTATAAAGGGATTCTAAGTGACATTTTGTCTGAGCACTAAAAATTTTCTACTCACTGAGTTTTAGAGACAGAGATGAGACAAAGGATTCTCAATGCTACTAGAAAAAGTACTTTAGTTAAGTACTTAGTACTAGAAATTATAGGAGGAATTTCACCAGCAAATACTACATATTCTCACCATTTTAATGCAGGCACATGATTCACTGTGTCTGTATACTGGTCTTCAGATACAACAACCACCTTGGTATTAGCCGCCTACTCTCACCCCTCTACACAAATCTGCTCCCCTCTCATAAAATCAAGGTTAGTACACTTCTTCTAGATCATCTAGTTGCCTAATCACAATTTCAGCAAGTAAAATGGGCACCTTCCTCATCATTCAAATAAATAGAAAAATACCAGGTAATAAGTAATAAGCAAAGTACCCACTTCCCTGGACACGGTTTCCTTCCAAAGCACAAAATAAAATGGTTTAGGACATATTTACTATGTCCATTGTTTTTGTCCTCTTAAGTTCATTTTGTCACTGAGATGTTTATAAATTGTACTCGCTGAGTAAATGCTATCAGACAATTAAAGATAATTGTCAAAACCTAAGATTTGTTTATCAATAAGACTATTTTGCCCATCTTTATCAAATAAGAATCAAAGTATTTTGAAATTCGCTCAAATTATACAATCAGGAAAATTATAGAAGGGAGAACTTGAATAGCTGGCATTAAGGTCTGACAATACTAAGGGTTGGTGAGGATGTGGAGAAAGGAAAACACTCATTTATCACTCACGGGACACATCACCACTTCAGATGTCAAATTAGCATTTCCACTTCCAAGTACATGCCCTAAAACTCTCCACACGTATAGAAGAAATGTACAAAAATGTTTACTGCAGCATTGTTAACATTAAGAAATAATTGGAAATAACTTAAATGACCATCAACAGGGGGATGGATAAATGTTAATATTCATAATGGAATAGCATCTAACCAGGAGAAGCAAATGAATAGAAGTGTAACAAAGTCAATATAATTCAAAATTAGTCAAAATACAAAAGCTGCAAAACAATACAATAATACACGTGTGACACTATTATATAAAGTCTCAAATCTGAAAGTAACACTATATAATAATGTTTATGTCAAAATGGATGCAAAAATATATAGTACAAGTATAAAACATTCACAAAACAGAAAAGCACTAAATTCATGATATAAATTCTTTGCAGGTAAGAAGGGAAATGAAAGGAGATAAGAAGCCTTATCCATATCTGCAATGACTTATTTTTTTCATAAACTGATCTAGAGCAAATATGGCAGAACATTTTTAATAAAGCTAGGTGGTAAGTACATTAGCGTTTGCTATATTATTTTCTATTCTTGTCTGTATGTATGAAACGCACTCCAAGGAGTGAGCATGAGGGAGACAGCAAAGGAAGGAAAGAGATGTTCCAAGTGATACCACATCCGTAGGGCAGAAGATCAATCACCGGACAAAAAGGTTGGTTGCTCAATGTAAAAGGGTTTCATGAATCCAAGAGGCAGGTTTTCAGGAAGTTACACTTCAGCCAAGGAGCTAACACTTCTGGGAGGCTCTGACTCAGTCACTGTTCCTTCATTCAAGTTACCTCATGCCTTTATCTGGATACACAATGATGGCACCTACTCCCGGGGTGATAAACTAGTGTTCTTATCAGTACCCGCTAGCTATAACTGAGCACATTGTTTCTGTTCCCTGTCAGAAATCTTCCTCT